ATCGATTTGCTCGAGCAGGCACCAGTAATGTCTCACAACAAATTGTGAGACTTGTTGTTACTGTTTTGTTTTTTTTTTTTGGCATATTAAATACATCACAGGTAGCTTGCCAGGCTTTGCCGTGCTGGTGAGATACTCTCGGTAGCTTGCCTGGTTCTCCAAGAGGGGTGGAGGAATTGAACCAGGGTCGGCTGCGTGCAAGGCAAGCACCCTACCTGCTGTGCTATCGCTCTAGCCCATGATAAAGTAATATTTTGAATTAATGATCAAGGGATGGTTAATTGCATAAAGTGCTGTGTTAATAGATTCATCAAACAGGGTAAAAACAATTAGATTACAATCTGACACCAGTTCACAGATGAATTTTAGTGGGTTAAGACCTAGATGTGTTAGTTAAATATTATTAATTTTAAAAATAAATAATGTTATCTTTGTGACCTTGAAGAAGACATAACTTCCTTAGCCCTCATATAAGAAACGGAAAATATAAAGATTAAGACTGACAAATCTGAAATTAAAAGGGGAAATCTCTAGGAACACACATACATACACAATAAAAAGTTGAATTATGATGGAAAAATACATTTTCAACACATATAACTAATAAAAGATTAGATCTAAGATATACAAAGAACTTTCAAAGATTCACACAAAAAATAATAGGAAATGAGCAAAGGATTAGAAAAGTCAGGGAAAGTTCCTAGGTTCATGACATATTGTCTAATACAAAAACAACATAAACTGGGCCAGAACCAACCTCCTTATCTCTTATGACAGTCTTTGTATTTATCTTTCTCTTCTCTCCATCTATTCATTCAAAACATACATACAGATCTCTGATAATATGCCAGGTACTATTCAAAACACTACAATAGATTTGTGAAAAGACCAGATAGAAATCCCTACCTTTGTGAAGTTTATACTCTAGCACTGGTGAATGGTAGTGGTGTGTGTAGAGTTCAAGAGGGGTGAAGGATTGTTGAAGGTTGTAAAGAAAATATAATACAGACATAATGAACATAACAGGTAAGAAAATTGCTTGGTTAGTTGACACTTGAAAATAAGTGCTCTGAGAAAAAGCAAGGACTGAAAATCAGAGAAATCAGAAGTACCAGGTTAGGAGTGCAATTTTCTATACATTGTCAGAATAAACTTAATAGGAAAGGTGAGGTTTTATCGAATCTTTGGAGATGAGGGTGTCATCCAAGGTGATCATCTGAGAATCCATCTTATTGGGAGTGGGGAGGGGACAATCTCCATCTTAGTTCAGACCTTAGGTGATTGGAAGAGATAGTGAATGTGTCCGTATTAGTGACAGTAATTATCAGTTCTTCAACATGGGACAGAAATATTTGATTAAGAGTTTCCTGGAAAAGACCATCAGATCTTAGCTATTCCAAGTTAGAGGATTTTATTTCATGATCTGCTTTTTGCTTGAGGAGATGTTCAGGAAGTGGAGACTGCCAAATATGCAACTCAAATTATTTAGGATGCAATTAGATTTGGTTTAATAATTAAAAATACTTTGAGAATTTTCTTTGGCAGAGATTAGGCTATTAATTAGCATGTCATGGGAACCCGGCATTTATTATTCTCTCAAAAACCCGTTTGTGGTGGAAAATGTGCTGAGCCTCATTTGTGAAGATAATTATAGTTGATATCTTTGGGAATGTCTGCCAAGTTCCCAGCGATTTTCCTCTTTTTTGGGAGCAGCCTCCAAAGTCTAGGAGGAGGGGGAAGTTCCTGGACTCACATTTCTAGTGTATAACCTCTAGTCATAGCACATTGTATCAGAGCTGGAATCAGGAGCAAAGTTGAGCCAATGAGGTCTTTCATCCAGGAATTTCGAATTGGAGCCCAGAGGACCATGGCCATCTGTCCATTTGGTTGGAACTATGAAATACAAATTGAGGGTGGCCATATTTGACAAATGGTCTTGAGAAGCAAGAAAGTCAATCTGCAAATAGGGAATAAGAAAACACACAGAAAAGACTTGAAAAGAGCTTGAGGGCTATATACTGGTGGTCTTCTGTCATTTAAACCCCAACTCTTGAATTCCAGCTCTTGAATCAATGACACAGTAACAACAAAATCTCCAATGGAGACGTTACTGGGCCCGCTCGAGCAAATCGACGAGCGCTCGAATCAATGAAGGCTCCTTTAGAATCAATGAAATTCCTTTGGAATCAATGACTGACTCCTTGCAATAAATGAGAGACTCCTTTGTTTTTATAATTAATCACATTTGCTACCTTGGCTTATCAGCTGGACTCCTAATATAATAATTCTCCAGTTCTGAAATAGTAGAGAGTGCATTTTGATTTTCCCCCCGACTACGAATAGCAAGTTTCATTGTTATTAATTCATCCAAAATTTATTCACTCATAAACTTTTGTGTGGTATATTTTATGTTCATGACTAAATATATGGCTAAATAATATTTATTACTTTTATTTACATTAGTTAATTTGTCTTGATTCTTTGTCTTTAAGGTAGTTGGTTAGGATGTGGTGCAGTGTTTGATTCTGAAATACCAAAACTCTCTTTTTGAGCTTGATTGACCTGAATCGAATCCTAACTTTAGCTGTTTTAACTTTGGAAGATACAAAAAGTATTTTCTGAACTATAGATTCCTATACAAATACTTTTTTACTTATTATAATAATATCTTTTATTTGAGTAGTTCAGCTTAGAGCATCCATAGAAACATGTACTAGATATACTCCTTTAAAGGGAAGTGCTTGTTTAGGAAAAAACCCTATGTTTCAAAATACCCAGTTTTGCTAGAGATATGCTTAATAAATTTAAAAATTAATGTCTGTTTGATAGAAATATTTTTTCTTTAAAAAATTTTGAGGGTTTTAATATTTGGAGAAAAGATGCTCTTTTGTGAAAAGGATATAATCAACCTCAAATAATGATTTCTGAATTTACAGAGAAGACAGGTAAATAAAAACCAACAGAAACAGAGATAATCCTGGACAAATGAGCTCAAGTACCACTGGGATTTGTTCCAACATCTGGGTGAGTCCTGTAGCAGGTGGGATTTGACTTCAGCTCTTTTTTACAAATGTCAGTGATAGATTCTGCTTACGAGAAAGCTCAAACCTCACCTTTTAACTGATGCTTATCTTCAAGGACCTAGTCAGATCTCCTTCCCTTTTTAGGATGAGAGTTCTTAGAATTTATAGTTCTTTAGAGGGAACTCATTAAGTATTTATTAAGGTGAATGCATTTAAAGCTCTTGCTCTGCTGCCTTGGAATATGATGTCCTCAATTTTAACAACGGGCTAACATTTAGAATGATAAAAGATTAGAAGTAGAAGGGCTGTAGAAATTATCTATAATGATGGCTAAGTGGATGGAGTTTAATATCTAGTTATATCTGTCCTCTATTGTCTTTAGGAAAGTTACTTAACCCTGAAAAATGGGTATAAAATGAAGATAATGCATCCTTTCTCACAGAGGAGCATGAGGAGTAAATGAATAACACAGGTCAAGTTGCCTAGCATGTAGATGACTTGTTGTGGAAACAGGTAGATGGTAATGGTTATCTTTATATATTTTTTGTACATAATTTTCCCATAGTCATTTACTAGTCAATGCAAGAATAAAGTTCCTTGAGACTCATCATGTCTGTGATTTTAACATACTTCCTCTTTTTTGTGGCAATGGTCTTAAGAGTGAAATTACAACAGGAAATCCTAAAGGAACATGATCATCACAATTGACAGTGTTCTTCTAAATAACACTCTCTCTTTATCTTGGTCATTGTTATTTGTAGGATAGCATTGGTTTGTCCTTTCTGCCTTGCCACATGGAGCTTAGATTTATTGGGTTGCACCCATTCACAGTGCTTCTGAGGCACTCCTATTCCTCTGTGTTTATCTGTAACCTCCTTGTGCTCTGCTTCCCCAACTGGTCAATCACCTTTATCTTCTAATCAAGCTCTGTTAACTTGTAAATATTGATTTTTCTCTTCTCCTTATGTCCTTTGCATAGTTATGTCAGAGCAATGTTCTTTTCGTATAGACACAGGAACACAGTCGATGCTATGCTTTTGTAACTTGGGAGTTAATTGACTCCGAAAAATATTCACTCCTGGTCATCTGTTTTCTGGACGTAAGACTCAGTTGCCCTTACTTCTTAGCACCCCAAAAGCATGGTCCCTATGAGGAAGTGGATGGACCCAGGGCAAGCTGTGAGCTACCCTGGCATCAAAATGGGCTAGGCCAAGTTCTTAACTATAAGTTAAGAGCATGGTCATGGACAATTCTGACATGATCCAAAAAGTAACTACTAGATTAGAACCCTGCTAGGGTTAGGAAAGATTACTCTGGCCTGAGCACTGTAGTCTGGGATCAATAGTGAGATGTCCTCAGGAAAGCTACCCTACAAAAGCTTAATGTATCTATTACTGTTTCCATATAAAATAACTAATATTAAGAAGTAGAATTAAGATGAATGTTTAAGTGATTATTGGACCAAGGAAAGAAGGAAACCCCCTAGGTGGTATTTCACCTTTGAGTTTGATCTCTTGGCTGCAGGTGATCAGGATGGGCATTGATATGTTGATTATGCTACCCCCAATGCTGGGAGGTTATGAGAGACAAGAGAGATCAGTATGGGGAGTCAGAGCGAGGAAGACAAGAGGAGACAGGAATGAGGGGCTTAGTGATATTGGAACAGTCGCATGGGGAGAAAGGAATAAATGGCAACTATCACCAACCAGCCTGGCTCTCATTCCCTCTTTTGTCCACCCATGGCATCGGCAGTCCTGAGTGGAGAAGTGGTGCAAGATCACCAAATGCAGGCAGCGAGAGAGAGAGCTGTGGGATTCCTAGTTTCTTGGTGAATACACATCTGGCACCCCAGATGGGGCTGTTAACCCAAAGGTTGGTGATTACACAGTTATTATCCCTCTTTTACAATTTTATTTAAAAGGGGATGTTACCATTGAATCCAAGAGATTCCTATGAAGTCTTTTAAATTCATCTTACTTGAAGTCTTCGAGGTGGGTGCCTTTTAATAATACTTGTTTCTCCTTGTTCCAGTGGTATATCAAAATACATGGTCCTGGGCACTTGAAGAATTGGGGGAGAAGCAAGAACAAACTGTTAAAAGTAATTTACTCTTAAATTGTGATGAATACTAGATATTTGACTTTGCTAGTTTGTGTCTTTTTTGATTAAATACTGTAGTTTGAATGTGGAGATGGAACATAGAGCAGGTACTCTGCATTAATATTAATGATAAAATATTCATAGCTATAAGAAATAAAATTTTTATTTTACAAGAAAAAAATTTCCTTTTCAGATGATCGATACAGATATTAAGTAGAATATATCAGGTAAAACTGATAAAGAAATGGTGCAAGAGTTTCTAGTAGAATTGTATTCTCCCACTTAAACTATCTCTCTAACTAGGGAAAGATATTACCACTAAAATACTACATAATATTCTCTTATAATTAAACAAGGCAGAAGTGCAAAGTTAAGCCTTATGAAAAAGTTTCAACAAATAAATCCATTTTTATTTTTAGTGTTTTATTTTTGAGTTTATACTCCTGGGACTACCACTATGACCACAATGCATGAAGCTCTTGTCCTTTTCTCTTAATAATCAATTTGTCAACATTCTGATTTCTAGACTGTGTGACAGTCTGCTTGCAATTTAAGTGGAAAAATTATTAGGAACAATGAGTTTCTGTTTCTATCCATAAAACATTCGCATGACCATCTTAAGAACTCCACCTACCATATCCTTGTTTTCGTTTAAAAAATGCTAGTCCATTAAGCATGATAGAAACAATATCAATGGCAAGAGATAAAAAACATTTTGAAACAAAAATATTTTTAGTAGTTTGACTTCTCTTTTTTATATTATAATTTGCATGTTGTCACCCCATTATTTAATATGATTCTCCTAGTATGGTATAGGCTATGCCAGGTTGTTATTTTTAAAAATAATTTCTTATACCTCCTATTAAAAAATAACAATCTGGCATAGCCTACACCATTTGGTGGAGAAATTGATGAAGTAACTTTCCCAAAATATTCAATTTGGTATTTGGTGTAGGTGGACCCCTAAATATGGGTCCTGGGAAAAGAATAATCAAAAGGTCAACCTCTCCATGTTATCTACTCTTGATGTGATGCTGTCCTTTTAAAAACATTCCCAGTTGACACTCTAATGCATTAGAATAAGCTCTTAGTATTCAGTTAGCAAAATCTTAAAATTATGGTTAGAAGATTTGAATAAAAACAGAACTTTTCAATAAAATAAGAGAAAAATTCCCTTGCCAATTGCTTAGAAAAATATGAGAATCAATAAAAAAGTTGTTAGTTCTGTGGAAAGTAGCCATGAAAATTATTATAGGTAAGATATACAAAGTAGCAAAATACAGTATAAGGATTTCTCACCAAGTTGTCCAATAATAGAAATTATTTGTGTCATTGATGCAGCACTGTACTACACTGTCCTCCCATTGTTTATCGATTTGCTCAAGCGGGACCAGTAACATCTCCATTGTGAGACTTGTTGTTACAGTGTTTGGCATATCGAATACATCATGGGTAGCTTGCCAGGCTTTGCCATGTGGGCGACATACTCTCAGTAGCTTGCTGGGCTCTCTGAGAGGGGCAGAGGAATTGAACTCGAGTCAGCCGGGTTGGCTGCATGCAACGCAAACACCCTACCCACTGTGCTATCGCTTCATCCCTGTGTTATTGATAATAATTGTTAAATAATAGGAAATTATTTGTGTTATTGATAATTATGTGTGAAAAAGAGAAAATGAACATATTACATTATATAGTCATGGTTCTCTTTTTAAACTAGGTGTCTAGTTAATTATATAGCATTTTACAGAGATGTTATAAACTAATGTTATAAAATATAGTTATGAACAACATATGCTGTATATATAAATTATATAAAATAAAAGTAATGCTATAAGTCTTATAAAATATTCTAGGATAATTTATATTTTTTTCAGCTTAGAGTTTCCAATAATAATGGGAAGAATTCTTTTATTTCTGCAGATGATCAGAATAATAAGATAGAATTGAAGGTTAAGAATAAGATAGAGTTGAAGAAGGGTGACTCATCCACTTCTCTTCTCTGCAATAAATCATTTGGAATGGATTCCAAATTCACATTAAAATGCATTCATTCCTAAAGTACTGCTTTCCAGAAGTAAATCCGATACATTAAACAGTACTGGATAGAATGATTTAAATTTAGAATCAATCTATGTGAGTGTTATAATTTAACGTAACTTTTTATAATTTTAACTGTCTTGCAAAGCTCGGTAAAAACATTGAAAGTCCTACAAGCTGAAACAGTAGTGTTTTCCCTTCTATGTGGAATGAGCAAAAGAAAAACCTTTGTACACAGTGTACTCAACACTTTTAATATACCCATAATACTAATAATTGACACTATCCAGTCTCCCACTGAAAGATGTTTCCTTACGTCTCAGTGATGTAAAGACTTTCTGAGATAGACTGGGGAGATAGCACAGGGCTGGAGTGATAGCACTGGGCTGGAGCGATAGCACAGCGGTAGGGTGTTTGTTTGCCTTGCATGCGGCCGGCCGGCTGACCCGGGTTTGATTCCTCTGCCTCTCTCAGAGAGCCCAACAAGCTACCTAGAGTATATCACCCACATGGCAAAACTTGGCAAGCTACCCAATTGATATGCCAAACACAGTAACAACAAGTCTCACAAATGGAGACGTTACTGGGCCTGCCCGAGCAAATCAACAAACAACGGGAGTGTAGTGCTATACAGTGCTGAGATAGACAAGTAAGTCTTTCACGAGCTCACCTGAGCACAGATCAAATTCATGCCAGGTTGGATAGTTACCTGCCGAGTGTCTTCCATACCAACTCTCTCGGAGGGGTGGTAGCTGTCCTTTTGAAGCATTATTCCTGTCCTGCAGTCTTGTGAAGAAATATGGAGCCTTTGTTTCCAGACTCTGATTCACTGCAAAGTTCCCAGGCTCAGCTGAGGAAATCTCTTCCTCCTTGTTCTGCAGTGGTGCCACTTTGGTCACTCTTGGGTGAGCCTTAGAGTATCCCAGGCCCATTTCACAACAGAAACCTCCAAAGGAAGAGCATAAGGAAAGTGTAGTTTGCTTTGATCAATCTGTTCTAGAAGTTTACCCTTGCTTTATAGCTCAGCAATTCCTTCATAACATGCTTCTAGCTCTGTTTCACCACACAAAAAACCCTGTGACCACTCCTGGAACACTGGTTTCCATGGAGACTTCCCTTCACCTCCTGCTTTGCCATCTCAGATCCAAAGAATCTTGTTAAACATTGACTTGGTTATGTTGCTTTTCCAAAAGATTCATGGTAGGAATGGAAACAGTTATTGATCATTAAACAAGTCTCTCACACCAGGAAGACTATTAACAGAAATGGAAAGCAGAGGTCTAAAGAAGTCTTAAACTTGACTTTTTCACAGCACCACCTTAAGAACTACCAACTATCAATGCTCATTCTATGCTCTACTTATCATCAAACAAATTTCCTTCAGTAAATGAGGTTCTGCGTCCTAATCTCAGAGATCTTTGTTTATCTTTGATGATAATTGAAGGATGTATCTTCCAAATAGAAAATTGAGTGGCTACTACATTTCCCCCCCTCTATAGATGAATGGCCTTTGAAAGGGAGGAATGAATTACATGAGGGTCAGAAGAAAATATATCCCACCACCCCAAGGGATGAAGGGACAACTTCCTTATACATGGTTCAAATAACTGTGTTTTCAAAGAAACTCCATTTGTTATGTTTTTAAAAACTCATAAATAAGACTGAAAGGGGATTGCTAAAATGTTGAATAGTATGATTTGAATAGTAGTGTTATGGGTGATTTTTACTCTACTTTTTCTGTAAAGAAAAATGACATGTTTTCAAACTCTAATTGCTTATAGCAGTATTCCTTAGGATAGAATGATGGTGGCCTGAATTCAGGTGCTTAAATTGTCTTCATGTTTTTGGTTCCTTGGAATGACTTTCAACTGGAGTTAAAACATTTGTCTAAATACTCTCTGGGGTTGCATTTAGTTTCACGTATGGGTTAATTACTATGCATTGGTTATTCAGTAAGTGGGGTTTAAATCCTAAATATTTACAGGATTCCAAATTATACTTCTAATGAAAGTTGCAGCCTTTCTGCAATTGATCTGTAATGGATTAGCAATCACTGGAGGCCTTTCAGCAATGAGAATTATGTGTTTGAACACCAACTAAGCAGAGTTGATATGTGACCTGAACTTTAATTTTCCTCCCAGTGATTACTTCTCTCTATATTTATCCATACATTGGGAGTAAGGTTGTCAATGCAACCAGACCTACTTGGTTTGGGAGTGCTGAAGCAAAACAAATGGAAGAAAAGTGGGAACTGAAATTTTTTGTACAAATTGCTAAACAAGATCAGTTAACTCAAATTTGTATCTTCACCCTTTAATCTGAAAGTTTATCAAGGTATTGTATGCTAAATGTATTGACCACTTCTGAGACAGCCAGCAGATGAGTTTCTTAAACTGAGTTGCTAATTTATTTAAATTAATTAAATTAATTTTTATATATTTTATCTCTTAATGGGATGATATCAATCTATGGTTGTAACAATCCTTTTGAAGTCATCTTTGTAATATCCTCTTCCCTCCCTCCCTTTTCCTTCCTTCTTTTAGATAAGATTATATTTTAACTGTTAGTCTATAGATGCATGTCTCAAAATGCGTGCATTCATATTCGATAGATGTATATAATAGCTCAGTGGCAAAATGTCTATCTTGCAAGCCTGGGGCTGCAAACTCCAGAGCTGCAAATTTGATCCTTGGCACCATCTCAGTTGCATTGATAGGAACCCAGTAGCTTTGCCATTTGGACACTACAGTGTATGCAGTCTCCAATGCACCACAGTCAACTGTGTGAGACCCCTGGGCATTGCAATAGCAACAAAGACGATAAAAGTGAGAATTTACACTGAAACTTACTTTCAATAGATGATCTCTGTCTAGTCTAAACAATCATTCAAAATGTAAAACTAAAGCGGACAATGCACTTTTCCCCCTAAGGCAAAGTCCTACACTTACTGATTCCTGCAAGAAGAAACAAGTGTGTGTAAAAAATTCCATTTGTGGATTCAAAGGTAAAGATGTGAGCTTCCTGAATTCAAGGTAGAGTAAAGACAGGGTGGAAGGAAGTGTGGCAAAGGAGATATATGAAAGTTTAGAGTGGTCTACCAGTCATTGGGAATCTGGCCCCAAACACTAGTTAGGAGGATTTCTCCCCTCTGGAAAAAAATTTTTTTGAGATGAAATTTGGAGGGCATAAATTAAAAGACAGATACAGATTTTTCCTGTCCCTTTATTTTTAAATTCATTTTATTTTCCATCAAATGTAAGGTCTAGTATATCATGATGACACTTTCAGTTTTGGCCCTCCCCAACATTCTTCATTACCTCCAGGAACCCTGATCTGGTTCCTGTCATTTGGCATTGCAGTGAGGACAAGACTTCCTGTCACCTATGCCTGAGCTTCTGTCAGCAGCCCAGGGGATCACCCTGCTTTTGTTTTATTATGCTCATAAGATAGAAATGATGTGTACCTGGTGACATCAAATCCTAATCTATGGTCTCTTTTTTTTTTTCTTTTTGGGTCACACTTGATGATGCACAGGGCTTACTCCTGCTCGTGAACTCAGAAATTACTCCTGGTGGTGCTCAGGGGACCAAATAGGATGCTGGGAATCGAACCCTGGTCGGCCGCGTGCAAGGCAAATGCCCTACCCACTGTGCTATCACTCCAGTCCCCTCTATGGTCTCTTTGAGGAATCTATTTTCTTTCCTTCTCTCTCTTTCTCTCTTTCTTCCTCTCACCTTCCTTCCTTCCTTCCTTCCTTCCTTCCTTCCTTCCTTCCTTCCTTCCTTCCTTGCTTACTTTCTTTGTCTTTATTTACAAAATACAGACAGAAAATGGATCAGCATGATTATTAAACAAAAGATAAAGACAAACCATTTGCTAGTCTCACATTTGCATCCTTGTTGCCAATTTATTTGTAGTCTGGTAAAGGACAGATCTTGGAGTGCCTTGCACTGGAGTAATAGAATAATAGAACAATACACTTAATCTGTTTTTTTTCCATCTGCTTTTCATGGGACATAAAAATATTACCCACAAGTGTCAGGGTAGAGAGGTCAGGTTCCACTGGATCTTCTACCAGAAATCCCACTTGAACCCATTCTCTTTTGGAAGTAGTTTCAAGAAATAGTAGAAATGTCAACTTTTTTCAGAGAAAAGAAATCCTCCTAACTAGTGTTTGGGGCCAGATTCCCAATGAGTGGTAGACCACCCTAACTTTTGTAAAATCTAGTTTGCCACACTTTTGTCCACCCTATCCTTTCTCTGCTTTAAATTTAGGAAGCTCACATCTTTATCCCCGAATCTACAAGTGGAATTTTACACACACACACACACACACACACACACACACACACACACACACACACACACATTTTCTAGCACTGCCAGAGAAGCAAAGTAGTGTCCAATACTCCCACTGGGCTGCTATTGGTTCAGCTCTGTTGAGAAGGGTTCAAATGGTTGTTACTGTGGTTTTCACTAGCCTTTTTTTTTCTTTTTGGGTCACACCTGGCAATGCACAGGGGTTACTCTTGGCTCTGCATTCAGGAATTACTCCTGGCGGTGCTCAGAACCATATGGGGTTCTGGGAATCGAACCTGGGTGGGCCGCATGCAAGGCAAACGCCCTAACTGCTGAGTTATCGCTTCAGCCCCCTCACTAGCCTTTTGAGGAGACAATGGATTTGGTTATTTGTTTCCTCATTTAAGTTTTTTCCTCCAGAGTTTAGTGTGTACCAGAAGTGGTGAGTCTCTAGGCTGGGTACAGGCTGACTTGGTCATTTAGAAATTCAGATTCTAGCTGATCCATTGTAGTCACTTCCCATGGGTAAGTCAGGATGCTAAGACTGATGAATGGGTTCTGGAAGTGACAGTCCCTCCCTTGAAGCCTCCTTTCCCTCCTTTATGATTAATGAGCATTTCAATTAATACTTTCAATGCTTTAGCATTACTATGTAGCACTGTAGCACTGTCCTCCCGATGTTCATGGATTTGCTCGAGCAGGCACCAGTAACGTCTCCATTGTGAGACTGGTTACTGTATTTGGCTTATTGGGTAGCTTTCCAGGCTCTGCTGTGCGGGTGGGATACTCTCGGTAGCTTACCGGGCTCTCCGAGAGGGACGAGGAATAGAACCTGGGTCGGCCATGTGTAAGGCAAATGCCCTATCTGCTGTGCTATCGCTCTAGCCTTTAATGCTTTGATAAAAGAGCTAATTCAGCCTCAAAGTTTCAATAAGGCACCAACTGTACCAAATCTCACTTCACCAAGGTGCAGAGGAGACACACTTCAGACAGTCTGAGTATTTTTTGTTTGTTTTGTTTTGGGGCCATACTCTGTGGTGCTTAGGGCTTACTTCTGGGTCTGCACTCAGACATCAAACTTGGCAGGCTCAAGGGACTGTATGGGATGCCAGGAATCTAACCTGGGTTGACCGTATGCAAGGCAAATGTCCCCAACCCCCCATTCCAAGCCCCCACTGTACTATTGCCCTGGTACCTAACGTGGGCCTTTTTCTTTTTTCTTTCTTTTTTCTTTTTTTGAGAAAGAAAGGAAGTGATTGCCTCCATTTTCATTTTTATTTTCAGGCAATGCTTACCTCAATTTTCATAGCCCTGGCCTTGGTAGAAGCTCTGGAATTTAGCATTCCTGGCTGTATAGAGATAACAGCCAGGTCCCTGCTGGCAGCAGAGGTCAAATGTGGCTCTGGAGGTCAGAAGAGGGGATGTTGGCAGTTACCCAGGGCACCACACATGCCACCTTCCATACAGGAACTTCCAAGGGGTAGGCACAGCTCCCCCTTGCCCAAGGGGTAGGCACAGCTCCTGCTCTTGCCCAGATGCATTCCAGATGATACTGGGCTCCTCTTTGTCCTTCATGCCAGCTGCCGCAGGTCCTTGAACAAGCAAAGAAACTGCCAGTTTCCACTTCCAATGA